TCTATAGTAACCATGCAAAAAAGTAATCAAGTTAGCGGTTTTGCAATTGCTGCAGATTAGGAAGAATGTTCAGTATTCAACACATTTGTCTTAAATTTGTATTGGTGTTTAATGAATAATGATAAATATATGTAATGATTGCAGATGTGTCTGTCTGTATAGATGTTTAATATTCCATATATTCCATATACCAGGAATATTTCTTCAAGTCCAGGGCCAAAATTTTCACAGCAGTATGCATGATCCTTCCTTTTAAAAAAGAGAAAAGAGATATCAAAATGACTAGTTATATATTTGGCGTACTTTAAAAAATCTTTTAAAACAAATTGGATGAAATACTTTAGATGCTTACCAAAGGTGGCATTTGACATTTTGATCCGCTGAATGAAACAATCTTCGTGTTCTTAACTACCCAAATAAGTTATTCAACGTGTGTAAAAATGTTATTCTTTTTGGTGTGGTAAAAACCCCTCCCTCGCCATGGCACTGCTGCTTTACCTCGGGTTATTGCCCTCGCAATGCTATCTCGCTCCCCCTCGCCCTACAGAAGATCATATCAAATGTGTTGATATATGTTGATATACCGGTATTTTAAAAAAAATAAATATGTGTTAACAAAATGAATGAATAAAATTATTGTTTTTCACTACTTTATTTTCTAGAGATTTTTCCGTTTGCCCGAACTAAACAATGAACACACGGCGGATGTAACGATGGAACCTGATCCCACGTCTGGTGATTTTTTAGAGGTCGCATTTTCTCTGCTTCCGATATGTATTGTTTCAATGGACTTTTTAACTTGATTACTGTTCGCTATCTCCATATTTCATTCCAAATATTTTTTATCATCCGAATGAGAGAAACTTTTCAATTTTGGAAACAATCACTGTCACCCCTCTACATTGCTGAAATTTGAATGGGACTTTAAATATGTTCAAAAATGCTTTCAGACTCTACGGCATGTTGTCATGATACTCATGACAAATAACACCCAATATTTTTTATATAAGTTTATGATATCAAAAACTTTTATTCTTTTATCATAGTGAGTTTGAAGAAATTCTTTGACGGTACATGCCAGGGCTACTATATGTAGGTTGGTCATTACAGAAAATGACTTAAAATGTACAGGAGTAGCATTTACAAAATTTCACAGATTATTCTAATTCTTGTAATGGCAAAACCGTTCCTGGACATGAGGAAATTTGTATCTTGTTGCCCTCTACCAAGTTTTATTGAAATCAAACCAGAAATGTAGGAGCGTTAGCGTTTCAGAAATTTTATAAAGACAGACAAATAGGATATAAATTTTACCATTGCATACAAGTAAGCTCCTCTGGCCTAAAACCAATAGAATTAAAATTATCTACTCTAAAGAGATTTTAAGCACCACCTTCAAAAATTCCTAGTCTGTGTACCCCTGTCAATCAAGTGCACAAAAGGTACATCATTGGGTGCTAGAACTTGATTGACATTTACTTACTCGTACCTATGTATACCCTGTACCCCTTGCTTGGTACTCGTGGTGACCTTCAAATTAACTTTTGGTCCTTTGATATTTACCACACATGATATAAACAATAAATAAGCTGTATTACTGTGACATTTTTAGCTGAACTGAATTTATTATTAATCTCTTCACAATTTTACAATTGTATACAGAGATATAAATGTAAACAATGATGACAAATAAAAACAAATTTTAGCATGCGTGAGTATGAGGATAGACAAATAGTACAATTATAGATCTTTACTAATTCGGGGAGCACGTTTTAGTAATTTTTCTAATAAATGTACACAGTTTTCTTAAAAAGGATTGTTTTTCTGAATTCATTATTTCTCTGAATGTAATTGTATTTTTAAACCGTAATTGTTTTTGCGATAAGCATTTATTTCTTTCGTGTATCACTGACGTACAGTTTAATATGTAATGGAATTCATCGCCTATTTCATTTAAATTACATTTTTTACATAGTCTCGATTCTCTTGGTTCATTTAGCCAGCGTCCACTTTCAATCGGTAAATAATGATTGCAAGTACGGAATTTGCAGAAATTTGCAAAAAAAGCTTGATAATACATATATACACACCTTTAGTATTTGAAATAATTATGATTTTCTTTATGATAACAATTATATCAAAATTTGGTATAACAGGGACCTATATCTAAGTATTAGTTTATAGGTCCCAGGGTATAATAACTTTTTTTGCAAAGCTCAACAAATACTTTGAATAATAATATTTTTTTAATGGGTGAGGACGCTTTGACACACATTCAATTACAAATTATATAAATCATTGAGATGAAACTTTATTTACAACTTTTTACTTCTAATTTAAAATCATCTCAGAATCCCAACACAGGTAAAATTTGACTTCTTGGGTATTCTACTGTTTATTAAATCACTTCCTGTGTATAGGGATTAGGAGACAGACGACCACAGGTAAACTGCTAGCCCTCAAGGCATTCACGTTTGTACAAAATAAGCCCCTCCCTCACCTGGAATTTACCACCCGGTAAAAAATCTCTGCCTTTAAAATAAATGAATAAAATGTTTACTGAAGCGTAACCGTATCACAGAAATACATGAAATTGTGCTCACCCTTTTTGGAGAAATAAATGTCTATTTTCTTTTTTGTGTTCGTTATGTTTGCATTTAGCAAAAGAATGATACCTTCTGCAGCGTTTGGCCGTAGAAGAGGGTGGTAGTGCAGTCAGTATTATGTTGTTTACACATACATTTGTAAAACATTAAAACAATTTAAAGATTTATTTCTTGCTGTTATAAATGCTGTAATTAGATTAACAAGTATAAAAAATGTCTTCTATAGGTGGCCACGGCTTTAGTAGACACCAAACGACTATTGCAAGAAGGTGGTGGACCGAATACGAATGCAAAAGCACAGGGTGACTACTATGTAATATGAAAGACATATCGCTCTACAGCATTTGAGAGACGGTTGCAACCTCCGCGACCACCAAGAGTTACCACCAACTTTTTATCAGTGCACAAACGGTGCGCAATCAGCTTCAGGAAACTAGTGGGCAAGATGGTAATTCGAGACGCTTGTTTGACACCAAGAAAATGGTAAATTCGACTGCATGTGGCAGGATGCCTTATTAGACTCCTGTCGATGGGGCAAATGTTTTAGTTTAAAGATAAGCATATTGAGTTGTGTGTTAAACTAGAATTTTGTCTATAGTATAGTCGCATTCCCCCAATAAAGTACACTTCCCGATGTCTTGCTTTTAAAGCTAGTTATTATCTCTATACCTCCTTATTGTCAACACATACTTTGAGTTGTACACGTTGTATGGAAGGTGCATATGAACATTCTTAATTTGTTTATCTTTCTTTTCAGATGTTCTCCTGGTTCTCCTGTCAAAAGTCCAAGACGTGGCGTCCTCTTCGACATTATCCAGCTTGTTCACACGGAATTAATCATGAATTGTCTAGCTTTAGGAAAACAAAATACCAACATTGCGTTGGAAAAATATTGATGATTATTTGTTAACTTCTTTTTCTTGTAGTTAGTAGATATTTAATCTTCATTAATTGCTATCAAATTCTATTCCTCACGATGGTGGCAATTTGATCAGAAATACTATTATGCAATGCATGCAAATTGCAAATGTATAAGATACTTGAATAAATTTGTATCTAAGAATATCTCGTGCATTTCCAATTTTAATTTGATTGATTGATTCAAAATGTTTGCCAGTATATTACTGTACAGCTGTTTGAAAAAAGCTTTCATATTTCATACATAAATATTCTATACATGTATATTTAGGGTGAAAATATTAAATATACCAGTATATCATGAAGTCAAACATTTTATGAATTCCACCTGATTTCTGTGAATCATTAAATTGGCATTTTGGTACATTTAAATCTTAATAAGTAAATAACGTTTACTTATTTTTTCATGGATTATTATATAAATACTGCATGTAGTTGAGTGTAACATTGAAAATTTTCACCCCAAGAAAACCATTGTCAACCGAGGCGCAGCCGAGGTTGACAATGGTTTTCGAGGGGTGAAAATTTTCAATGTTACACTCAACTACATGCAGTATTTATTATATTATACTGAATGTTTTATACAAATACATATTACGGTGAACCTTGCGCGCATGAATTCTGTGCAGTCAATATTTTTTGGAATAACACCCGTCGTCAAGCAATGTTAACTGTTGCTATGCTGGTGGGCGTGGCTTCATTATTCAGCGGGTAATAGTGTTTTTTAACAAATGTTTCTCGACGAATCAGATTCAACTAATTTACATGAAAGTTTAATATATCAAATTCATTTATAAGCCAGTGTAAGTGTATGCATGGAACATTCACTACAAAGACCTTTGATGCTCTGACAATACATAGAATGAAAAGTCACTTTGCTGCAAGCGTGATTTCATTATATTGTGCTTTCATGTAAATAAGTTGAATCTTTTTCATGGAGAAACTTTGTTTTTTAAAAAAAGAAACACTAAATTACCCTCTGAATGGTAAAACCATGCATTCTGGTGCGATAGAATGTAGCAACAGTCAACATGGCTTGACATTGGGTGATACTGTGAAATTTTCATGGGGTCAAATTTTCGAGGTTTGAAGAAAAAAATATTGGTTTGGGGGATTTGATTTCGTGGTTGGGGAAGGGTTGAGTTGTTATGTATATGAAATTTTACATTTCGTGGTGGACATGAATTTGTGTGTATTTTCGTACCTATAAAACCATGAAAATTAAACCCTCATGAAAATAAGTGATTTCACAGTATTCAAAAAAAGAAAACTTTGTTATACCTTTAAAACGTGGTTCCTATATAAATCTACACTAAAAAAGTCTAGCATTTCCATTGTTTTATAAAAAAAATCGATGTTTGACCGCAGGGTGAGATATTGGACCTGTCGATGAGATATTGGACCATTCCAATGATAATGAACAATTCTATAAAACAGAACTTGAAGATGGTAACTTGTACAATAAAATATAACAAACATGGGCAAATTATTTTATTCATGTATTACTTACAACAATTAAAACATAGTTTAAAGGTACTCTAGTACTTGCAGGAATCATGAGAACAAATTGTTACATAGTTTTTACAAATAATCACTGAACATATGAAAGTATAACTTGTAAAAAAAAAAAGGTCGTCTAAAGACCCCAGACTTCTGTGGTAATGGTAAGGAATTAATGATCTAGACTGACTGAATGCCTGAAGTTTAGGTTTTTTGTACCGTATCAATATGTATTATTCATATTCTCATATATCTTACAACAAAATTCTGTATATTACAAAAATTCAAATCCTTGAACAAAAATAATGGAAATAACAAGTGACAGTCATAAAACATACACACAAGTTGTATCAGATGTTGCATAATAATTTCCATTCCATGCATTCACATCTGGATGATCAATTGCAATAAAACTCCAAACATTTATAGCGCAGATCTGAATACTAGAGGAGGGTGTGTCCTCTTTGTTGATTGTCAGGTGGTATGCTTAGCTTGAGATTCTATAATTAGACTTCCATCACTGTACATTTCTCCGATTAATACCTGCAACAAAGAAAGCACTGCAAAAAGTGGTATGTAATTTATTCCAGTCTGTATCGATATAGTAAAAACTGGACTAAAACTACAGAGTTGTATATGTGTATTATACAGCTGTCTCTGTACATTTAGGCATTGAATCAGACCCCATGCCTAGCTGTAAAAATCAGAATTCACACTCACATTGAACAGAAGCTGTTGCAATGACTCTTCCATTAATTGTAACTTACCCGAAGGATAATACAGGGTTGATATATAAACCATATTTGCGGTCAAGGCTAGGAGTTAAAAAATGTAAAGATAAGTATTGAATCATTATTTTTTGAAAGATGTAGTCTCATAACTGCAACGGTGTGTGTTAACAAATTTTCATATTGCGCTAATGCATGTTACTCAATTTGTTTGCACACACCGTGTGCAAACGATAAACAATAATAACTCATGTTACTTAATTTGTTTGCACACATCATTGCAGTTATAAGACCATACCTTTCAAAAAATAATGATTCAATGCTTCAATAGTGTTTTTCACCTCTACTTTAAAAGCAACCTTTTTCATCCATTTTGGGAAGAGTTTCAAAAACAGTTGGGAAAATACAGTCAATTTTGGAGAAAAAAGACATTTCTTAAGGGAAACTCTCAAAGGAGCCTCTATTCAGGTGTGATTTGAGTTCATGATAAATACAGGTACATACCTGTCGTCTTATAATATCCAAGTTTTCCTCAGCGGATTTCAATAAAGAAGTTATTTTCTTAGGATCATCTTCATTTTTGTGTTCTTTAAAAGCATCTCTTGTTCTTCTTAAAGCATATTCCCTGTAGTTTAAAAAAATCAGTTATCTTAAAACATATTCCCTGTAAAAGAAAACTAGTAGACAAAATGCCTTGACTGTTACCAGATTATCTTGCAATTCTCAACCTTTTTATAACTTGGCCCTCTCCTAGAGTTTTAGCTCTTGAGCCAGAACAATGACTTTCACAACAATATAGAAATTGGCTCATTTTTAAAATAACACATGGTATTGAATCCTGCTAGTTGTCGAGGATTAAAAAAAAACCCAGAAATTTCTAATGAGACAGTGAGTAGCTCTACTGGTTTGCACTTTTAGCAAAGGAAGAGAAAAGTAGCTCTTATGACTCCTGGTTTAGATTCTCTGTATGGCAAGTTTTATTGAAATTGGACTAAAGATGTAGGAGAAGAACACTTTTTTAAAAATTCAAAAAATTCTTTTTTAGTAACCATGTAAACACTGTTCATCAAAATAACAAGAGGCCCATGGGCCACATCACTCACCTGAGCACATTGGCTAGGAAAAAAAGCAAAAATCAGTACAGTATTGAAAAGTTTACAAGGAGGGGGGGTGTTGAATTTTAAACTACCTGATGATGCTTTCATATCAATATAACAAATGGCTTTGTTGTTCTTGAGCAGCAGATTTTTATTCCATATATTCATTTGTAAAAATTTGATCCCCCATTGTGGCCCCACCATACCCCCCGGGGGCCCTCATTTGAACAAATTTCATTCTACACTACCCAAAGATGCCTCCATATCAATTTGACTAATCATGGCTTTTCTGTTCTTGAGAAAAAGACTTTTTCCTATATATTCCTCTTTAAACTTTGATCACCCATTGTGGCCCCACCCTACCCCCAGGGGTCATGATTTTAACAAATTTGAATCTTCACTACCTGAGGATGCTTCCATATAAATATGACCAATCATGGCTTTACTGTTTTTAAGAAGAAGATTTTTAGAGATATTTTCCTATATATTTCTATGTAAAACTTGGATCCCCCATTGTGGCCCCACCCTACCCCCGGGGGTCATGATTTTAACAAACTTGAATCTTCACTACCTGAGGATGCTTCCATATAAATATGACCAATCATGCCTTTGCTGTTCTTAAGAAGAAGATTTTTAAAGATATTTTCCTATATATTTCTATGTAAAACTTGGATCCCCCATTGTGGCCCTACCCTACCCCCGGGGGTCATGATTTGAACAAACTCGAATCTACACTACCTGAGGATGCTTCCATATAAATATGACCAATCATGCCTTTGCTGTTCTTAAGAAGAAGACTTTTATAGATATTTTCCTATATATTTCTATGTAAAACTTGGATCCCCCATTGTGGCCCCACCCTACCCCCGGGGGTCATGATTTGAACAAACTTGAATCTACACTACCTGAGGATGCTTCCATATAAATATGATCAATCATGGCTTTGCTGTTCTTAAGAAGAAGATTTTTAAAGATATTTTCCTATATATTTCTATGTAAAACTTGGATCCCCCATTGTGGCCCCACCCTACCCCCGGGGGTCATGATTTGAACAAACTTGAATCTACACTACCTGAGGATGCTTCCATATAAATATGACCAATCATGCCTTTGCTGTTCTTAAGAAGAAGATTTTTAAAGATATTTTCCTATATATTTCTATGTAAAACTTGGATCCCCCATTGTGGCCCCACCCTACCCCCGGGGGTCATGATTTGAACAAACTTGAATCTACACTACCTGAGGATGTTTCCACATAAGTTTCATCTTTCCTGGCCAAGTGGTTCTTGAGAAGAAGATTTTTAAATGATGCCATTATTTTTTCACGAATTCCTAATTATCTCCTCTTGAAAGAGGGCGTGTCCCTTCATTTGAACAAACTTGAATCCCCTTTACCCAAGGATGCTTTGTGGCAAGTTTGGTTGAATTTGGCCCAGTGGTTCTTGAGAAGAAGATGAAAATGTGAAAAGTTTACAACAACAACGACAACAACGACAAGAAAGACGACAGACAATGGACAAATTTTGATCAGAAAAGCTCACTTGAGCCTTTGGCTCAGGTGAGCTAAAAACCAGTCACAGAATTATGTATCTTAGTACAATCTACTTGTGAGCAAGTCTTACTGAAATTGGATCAAACTGCTGGAGGAGTAGCATTTTGACAGAATTTTACTGAAATTTCTAGTTTAAGAAATAATGGCAACACCTTTTGTTGATATAAGAATATCATAAAATAATCTACTTGTGTATGAAATCTTAATGAAATGGAATCAAAATTGTAGGAGGAGTAGCACTGTGAAAGGATTTCACAGAAATTTCGATTTTTAGTAACCATGACAACATTGCTATTGTTAGTATTATTTGTGTACCAAGTCATATTGTAATCATACCAAAACTGTACTAAAGCTGAACAAGTAGTTTTTAAAACATAGATATCAAAGATACAAAGCTCACCTTGACAAATATTATATATATATATACACAAGTAAGTAAGGCAAATCTCACACCAAATTTTTGCTAGTTAGTGTGCATTTGAAGATTAATATCCATGCAAATTTGGTTTAAGTAGGACTTGCAGCTACATGGGAATGGATTTGCTCTAAAATGCTTAACCTGTTCACTCATCCAGAAAATGTAGGCCAGATCAAGCATCCAAAGCAAGTGTGGTAGCATGCATCCCTAGTCGCATCATCTATACAAGTTTAACCATAACAGGTCATACAGTTTCAGAGCTACTCCAAATACGTTACCCTGGTCACTCATCTAGAAAATGTAGGTCAGATCCAGGATCTGAGGCAAGTCTAGTTGAGTACATCCCTAGATACATTATCCATGCAAAGTTGGTCCAAGTTGGGCTTATAGTTACCTGGGAACGGACCTGCTCCAAAAACTTTAACCTGGTCACTCATCTGGAAAATGAAGGTCAGATCTAGCACCTTAAGCAAGTCTAGTAAGGTATATCCCTTAGGCTAGATACTTCCTCCATGTTAGTTTGCTTTTTGTAGGTCTAATATTCACTGATCTGGAAAATATAGGCCAAATCCAGCATCTGAAGCACTATGGGTATTATTCATTCCAAAATGCATCATCCATGCAAGTTTCGTATAAGTAAGACTTGGGTTACTTGGGAATGGACCTGCTAAAAATACTTTAATCTGGTCACTCATCTGGAAAATGTAGGTCAGATCCAGCATCCGAAACAAGTCTGGGAGTGCCCATCCCTAGATGCATCACCCATGCAAATTTGGTCCAAGTAGGTCTTACAGTTAGTCAGTTACTAGGGAATCCACTTGTTCCTAAAACTTTACAACACAGGCACTGATGGTATAGCGTATCCTCATCTTGAACCTTGTCGGGTGAGCTAAAAATTGCCTATGAACAGAAAGACAGCTGGACAGACACTTTACTAATGCATAAGCTCTTCATGACTCTGATCAGTAGATCTAAACAAGGAGAATATTTAACTAGTGCTTGTTACTGTTAGATGTCTAAAAGTGAGATTTTTTAAACATAGGTAATCAAAGATTACGAAGCTCACCTCAACAAATGTTATCTATAAGTAAGGCAAATTTCACATATTTTTTTTCTGCTTAGGGTACATCCCAAGATCAATATCCATGCAAGTTTGGTTTAAGTAGGACTTATAGTTACTTGGGAAATAGACCTGCTCAAAAAACTTTTAACCTGTTTAGTAATCAAGAAAATTGTCGTCAGTTCCAACATCCAAAGCAAGTCTGGAAATTTTCATCATTAGATGCACCATCTATGCAGATTTAATCATAACAGGCCATAATATTATGTAGCTACTCCAAAAAAATACCCTGATCACTCATCTGGAAAATGTAGGTCAGATTCAGAATCCAAAGCAATTCTGGAAGTATCCATCCCTAGATACTTCATCCAAGTTAATTTGGTTAAAATATGGCTAAAATTCAATCATGCCGAAAATCTAGGTCAGATCCAGCATCCAAAGCAGGTTGGTTAGTGTACATCCCTAGATGCATCATCCATGAAAGTTTGGTCCAAGTAGAGCTTATAGTTACTTGGGAATGGGACTGCTCCAAAATCTAAACCTGGTCTCACGTGTGGAAAATCTAGCTCACATCCAGCATCCGAAGCAAGTGTGGTAGTGTCCACCCCTGGATGCATCATCCATGCAAGTTTGGTCCAGATAGGGCTTATAGTTACTTGGGAATGGACCTGCTCCAAAAAACTTTAACCTGGTCACTCATCTGGAAAATCTAGGTCAAATCCAGCATCCGAAGCAAGTTTGGTAGTGTCCATCCCTAGATGCATCATACATGCAAGTTTGGTCAAGGTAGGGCTTATAGTTATTTGGGAATGGACGTGCTCCAAAAACCTTCACTTGGTCGAGGTGAGCTAAAAATAGAATACATTTAAAATATATGGCCAAGTGATAAACCCCCCTCCACAGGGCCTGAACTCTTCAATAGGATTTTGCATCAAGATCTTTCTTATGATTTTGTCTAGAGGTAAAAAAGCCTTTTTAAACATTGCTTATTAGATGTCTAGGAGTGAGGATTTTTAAAAATATGATACATTTTAAATATAAGGCCAACTGATAACATCCTACCACACCCCTGCCTTAATTAACTCTTCACTAGGAGGTCATAGATTTTAGTTGAACGCACACTATTACTTATAATCATGCAAATATTTTGTATTACTATAATACACTGTTATTAGCTAGATGCCTAAAAGTAAAGGAAAAGATTTTTAAAGATAAAATGAAACTGTACTCATTTTATCTAAATTCTGTGCAAAATAGGTCAGGGAGTATTCAGCTCAAACATTATGAGTCAGGATTTCACAACTTTGGAAGAGGACTCATTACTTATCATTTATTGTACCCATGCAAACATTTTACAGACTAGATTTCTACCATAAAAAAATTTATATGATACTTTTTTGTTTTGGTCCCACCTCGGGCCAAAATGGGGACTGATTCCATGACAACTGGTAATCAACTCAAAAGAATTTGTAACCTGGGTGTAGCACTGAATCTACAGTGTAACAGAAACCACTTTTTTTCTTTAAGAAATGCTTGCTTCTACAGTTGAAAACATTTACCCAGTAGTTCAATTTGAACACAGAACCCCTTGATGATGTGCTTTATACATATCTATGCACTCGGTTGGTTGAGTGCTTGCTCTATGATTGGAAGGTGACTGCTGTTGGTTCAAGCCCCAGCTGCGACAAACTGAAGTTGATAAACAATAGGTAGACACTGTTCCTTTGCTAAGTGGAGTAAGTGCTCAGCACTTTGAATTTGAAGTGAGAGTTGCAGGTCTTTTGGATGATACCTTAACACTGAGGTATGTGTCAAATTAGGCATTGGTAGAATTAAGATCCCTTACTATTGACTAATCAATGGTGGCTCATTGGCCCTGAGTGCCTAGTAAAGGTTATCACATAAAAATGCAGTAACAATTTCCTGCCATGTATGGACAGGGAATTCTTAATTTGCATAGATTTTCTATTTTGAAATTTTTAACTACATGATTTTTTTAAATTTCTTTTTAATTTTTAACTACAGATAACCCAAATGGGCTATTATATCCTGTTTGGGCAAATGATTCCAACCTGTTCTATAAATATTACAGTGGGGTACCTTATATAAATAGATTGAACATTCTATCATTAAAATGATATTTTCCTAACAGATGCAGTGTGGTGAGGGCTATTCTCTTTAGAGAAGTGGAAAAGCTTTCGCCTTCATCCACTTCGATGAAGGCGAAAGCCTGTCCACTTCTCTAAAGAGAATAGGCCCCCCCCCCCCCTATCAGCCTATGGTAATGGTGAGGGCTTGCCCCAGTTAGATTACTCTATGGGGTAACTGAACTTTGTCTATCTAATAAAAAGAAAGTTCTGTTACATGAGATTTCTTTAGAATGGATAGAATTTCCAAAAACCCTTACAGTGTAGATATGATAGATTTATATCATTCACATAGGCATAGACATAGTATGACACGAAGAGGAAATTCGGGTTACCATTGATCTGATTTCTGAATCTGATTCCGACGCAGAAGCCAATATTTTGTACTTTCTATGCAATCACAAACCTGTAATTGTATGATTTAAACTTTCTGCTTTCACGCAACAAGTCTTTATAGAGTTGTATAACTTTCCTCCTGTATGCCATGTTTTGAAAAACTTTGAACTTTTACCTTTCAGTTTCAAATTTTTCGACAATCTATTTAATGTTACGATTTAGTCGAGAGAGAAAGACACAAAATCAATTTCATGCAGATCCTGTTTTTGAATGAATGATCATATGTGTGTGTCCAACTGAAGAAATGACATTACAATGTTATTGTCGTTAAACAAAGTACTTTCCGACAAGCATGGCTGCACCCATATTGTTTAGCAGAGGTGTACGTTAAAACATTGTTTGCACGATTTCTTGTGTTTTAGAAGACTGAACATCGTAGCGGTAAGTTAAATCAACTTAAATGAGTTTAAATTGATTATTTCATGGTTGCTTAGCTTTGTTTATGTGTTATATAACACTGTATTTGGGTAGCTCATATCACGATCATGAGGAAATTCGAAATGTTATAGTTTTGACCTTTCAAAATGCTTATTCATAAAAATAGATTTTCATTATCTTCACATTGACCTCTATGGAAATTTTACTTGTAAATACAATATTTTACATCTGATTACTGATATCACTTTTCTTTTTCTTTTCTTCTTAAAACAGCGATAATGGCCATATGGAAGAGGATCCAACATTATACCAATTTATCTGGGTGTTATATTCATGTTGTGTATAAAGTACAGTCATCACAAACTTCACAGAATCTACAACATTTATTCAAAAGAACATTTTCAGTCAGACCAAGCTGTGATGTAAAGACTGTAGATGTTCTAGGCAGCACATACACCACTGATCAAACCACAAATGTTACTCAAAAAATATTGGAAAAGATTGGCAAGAACTTGCATTGTAAGCACAATCACCCATTAAATTTAATAACCAGACGAATTGAAAATTATTTCAACAACAACTTCAGAAATAATTGGCGTGCTCCAATGTTTAGTAAGTTTGATCGTCTTAGTCCAGTTGTGACTTTGACCCAGAACTTTGACACCTTACTGGTGCCCCCTGACCATCCCAGCCGGGCGTTGTCTGAGAGTTACTATCTGAACTCTACTTACATGTTGAGAGCCCACACTTCAGCACATCAGAGTGATCTGATAAAGACAGGACTGGATGCCTTCCTTGTTGTGGGCGATGTCTATCGAAGAGACACTGTGGATGCTAGCCATTATCCAGCTTTCCACCAGATGGAAGGAGTTAGACTTTTTTCAAAACAGGAAGTAAGTTGATTTTGTTGAAAGTATAGAAGTGCTATACTATTTAGAATAAATCTTAGGTGATAAATCCCTGTGACTCCTTAAATAGCTGCAGATCTGTAGCTTGCTGGTCTGAAAAAATTGGGATGGACAACCAGCTACAGTGCCACCCATTGAAGAAAGTGTATATTTATTGCGCACAAAAAAGTGTGCTGTTTCTTGATTTATTTCTCTGTTTATTTATGCTGCCATCTCAAATTTTTACTAACTGTGTGTTCCTGGCATATTCTTTTACTACTTCCACAATAAAAACATTTCCCCAAACCATTTCCTGGGGCTGAAATTGAGACAATCGAAAATTTCACCTATTTTATACTGCCATTTTGGGTGACAAGGCTATTTGGCCAAAAGTGCTTCATGCATGACTTGTACATGTAGTTTTGTTGTGAAAGTGCCGGTAGTAACAGCGAGTAAATAGAATATGTTAGGATTTAGGAACACACGGTTAGTAACATTTGAAAATATATGGTGAAATAAACCCAAAAAACGGCACACTTTTGTGCACAATAAATATACACTTTTTTCAATGGGTGGCACTGTAGCTCTCAGGTCATCCATCCCAATTTTTTCAGACCAATGAGCTACAGATCTGCAGCTACTCCTTAAATGGAATTCTTTTACTCTGAAAATGAAGATGGGTGAGAGAGAAATCACTTTGATCCTCTGTCCATCAGTTTGTGCAATCATATATAATCACTTTTTAATGGAGAAGGATTGGAAGCATATTCTTGGCACAAAGATTGCTTATGACCTGGGGATGTATCATGACCTTGACCCAAGGTCATTTCAGTAAGTTCAAGGTCACTGAAAGAAAGAGTATAAAATTCATGTCTGGTCTTTAACTTTCTAATGGAGAAATATTGAGGTTCATACCTTCTACAAAGATTGCTTATGACCGGAAGATGAGACATGACCTTGAGCCAAGGTCATTTGGTCACATTCAGTCATTTTAAGAAAAATGTATTGTTCCTGTCTTGACCATATGTCAAAACATGTGAAACATTGGAAACTTGGTCATTTGAACAATTTCAAGATCACTGACAGAAAAAGCACTGTAGATTCCTTATTTTTCGCAAGCACTTATTATCGCGAAATGACTCTTTAACATCAAATTCTTACAATCGTTACAATGAGAACAATAATTTGTGATAGGAAAGTTGATCAAAAGATTTTACATTGATTTCAGCCCCATAAAAATAAAAGGAAGTAATTTTATTTTGGGAAAGGTGCTTCTCGCGAAATTATGCAATATTTAATTCCTCACGTGTGTTTAAGAATCTACATTTTATAACTCATACTTCACACAAAGATTACATAAAACCAGAGGTGTGTCATTTTCTTGAACCAATGTCAATGGCAAATTCAAGGTCACTTTTAGAAAAATGTATAAATGTACATAGGCAATTGAATAAAAAAGTGTAGCTCCGGGGGATGGGATAATTTTGAGAGTTTGCTAACAGTATGTGTCAATTTTCTAATGAAAAATGGATACAAAATTCACATTCGTGCAAAGGATGACTGCACTTACATTGTAAGGACATGCGAAATTTGCGACAAAATAAACTTTCAAAACAAGCATTGTTCTTTTCATTGCAAGAATGGTCAACATCCAATCTACAACTTTATGTAATTACGTTTTATAAAAGTGTGTATTTACGAAGTTCGAACCTGTTTTCAAAGGCAGGGGTCATCACAATTTCTTGAATCTCCGTTCGATAATGAGGACGCCCACTTTTGACTGACTTTATACATAGTCAGCGCATGTTTGTCTATTGTTCTACGTTTAACAGTAGTTGTATATTTGCATAAATAACAATGTGTCAAAAGGAGATTAATAGACAAACATGCACTCATGGTTAAAAAGAGAAAAAAACTGCTTCTTCTTACATTCACTCCCTATGTTGTAACCAAGGATTGTGACATGTTGAATATTATAATTCACCACATGATTTCTTACCTGAGGTAACTTTGTGAATACTTAATTTCGTCACGTGACTTGTAAGATAGCATGTTTTGTGCTGTATAGGACATTGTGTTCGAACATGTTAAGTCATCTGGCATTGATATAAAATCTGCTTTAATTACATTGATGTGCTCATATTGTTAATTTCGTTTTGAAACTTTTGTCAGAAGTGTATTTGTGCCATACAGAATGGAAAGGGAGATTGGAAAGAGTGATCACGTTCTTTTTTCCAAACATGTCATTGTTATTTATCAAGTCTAATTTTAGACCCATTCTTACAATGTTAGCTCCACCTCTCATGCATATCTAATGGTTAATCAAGGGCAGGTAAGTGTAAATTCACGATATTTGAAAAGCAGTAAGGACAAAAAACATTGAATCATTTTATTGTATCACAGTCTAAAATCATTTTAAGATTTAAATTTGGTTACAAATTGACAGGATTCTTTCATAGACATACAAAAGTGAAATAAGGTTTAGATATAAAAGCAACAGAAGCAATCGAAAAAGACCCAAAAACAGGCGTTAAGTGCAGTCATCCTTTAGTGTGCCATTTTGAGCAAAATTTGTGACAAATTAATCGTTGAAAATGAAAATCTTGAGAAAGAAACTTGGTGATATATGTGCACTATATATTTACATGTGATCTCTCTTCTCAGAGGGTCAATGGACCAAAATATTTTGATGAAAACTAGTTTTATATTGTATGATATTTAATTTTGATACTTCTGCAGCTCTTTAGTCATGTGGAAGACACATCAAAAGTGACATTTTTTGAGGAGGGTACAAGAAATGGCACCAAACAAGAAAGACTTACTGTAGAAACATCGTTGTGTTTAGAACAGGATCTCAAGGACACTTTGAGGAATCTTGCTAATCATCTTTTTGGGGATGGTTTGTATTTTGTGTATATGCACGTAATTGAAGAATTTATCATTCTGTATTTTCAGTTCCTCTCATAACAATGTTTGGTAAAGATTTGTTTAACTTTTCAGTTATGTGTCACAGTGATCTGTATTCAGATTGAGAGGTACACTGTAACCTTGATGAATTTGTTTCTTTATCTGAAATTTTGGTTTATTTTTTACAGATGTGGAGATGCAATGGGTTGATGCTTACTTTGTTTCTTTATCGGAATTTTGGTTTATTTTTTACAGATGTGGAGATGCAATGGGTTGATGCTTACTTTCCTTTTACACATCCGTCCTGGGAACTGGAGATAAAATACCAAGGGGAGTGGTTAGAAGTGCTAGGATGTGGACTAATAGAACAAGATATTCTAACATCTGGTAGGTATAGTTTTCACAGTTTATTTATTAATGTTATGCCAACATTAAGAGTTCAGTGTTTCAGGTAAATATATCATATACAGCTATACACTAAACCTTTATCTCCAAACCAACTTTAACTGGCTTCCCTGTGACAACATCAAAATTGACAATTTAGACAAAATTAAATACAGTCAAACCTTGTCATCTCCAACTCGATGGGTTTGAGGTATTGAGGGTTAAAAACATAGAGAAAAAGGGGTTGGGACTTTCAAATGACTTCAACATATTATCCATGGTATTTGAGATATATTGATGTTCGAGATACTGAAGTTCAACTGTAGTTTTCCTTGTGCCATGTAATGGAAATAAAGTCTATGTGTAAAATATTGTGGAGTTATATGTGAAAGGCATACCTATATACTAGTTTAAAATACAGTTTTGTCTAATACTTTTGTAGAATTACTATTCAAACTTGTAATATTTGCATAAATGTACACGTACAGCCTACTTATAAATTCATTAGGCATTAATTGTATTTTCTTAATTATGCCCCATTTACCCTTATGTATAATTAAGTAAAATCATAATATTAGCAACCTGCCCACTGGATATAGCCCTCTTATCAATCATAGCCTCCTACTTCGTATGATTACACTGCAAGAGCCAGATCATTTCAAACAAAATCTATGGATTGCATTTTCTGTATTAACTAAGCTGGAGCAGATAGCAAAGTTGGCTGGGCCTTTGGTCTGGGGCTGGAGAGGCTAGCCATGAGATTATATAGTATTCCAGACATCCGACTCTTTTGGAGTGAAGATTCTAGATTTTATAAACAGTTTGATGTTGATGATCCAGACAAAAAAATTACTTTTAAGGTATGTGTAAAACTAAGTCAATTTTCTTTGATTTTAAAGTATGAAGAATAGGGTTTTTATCACAGAATATGTTCTTAGATATTTTTTTTACAGTGAATGCTGAAAAGGGAGAAATAATAATATTATTCAATAGATAAATTTTCATTTTGAATTCTCTCTCTCTCTTTTTTTTTAATTTTATAAATTTAAGGATCAAAAGTTGATTTATTACTTTGTGAAAAACTGTATCTTAAATCAACTTTGGTTAAGATGAATGAAAAAAGTACATTTTAAAGTATCATAATTTATGTATTTCATTACAGTTTACCTGCATATTTCTTTTTCATATTTTCAGCTCCACTGGTCTGATTTCAATATAACTGTACACAATTAGATTAACTAAGATACATAATTCTATTGTATGTTTTTTGATTTTGATATACGGCATGGTGACTAAGAATAGAAATTTCTATGAAATACTTTCAAAATGCTACTCCCCCTAATATTTGTGTCTGATTTCAGTATAACTTTGCATACAAGTAGACAACTTTATGATACCTAATTCCATTTATTTGTTTTTGATTTTGATGAACAGGGTTGCCATGGTTACTAAAAATAGAGATTTTTAGTAAAATACTTTCAAACCACTTCTCCTCCTACAGTTTTGGTCTGATTTCAGTGTAATTTGGCACACAAGTAGGCTACACTAAGATACGTAATTCTCTTTATCCGTTTTGATGAACTAAATATAGAAATTTCTGTGAATTTTTTTCAAAACGCTACTCCTCCTTCAATTTTGGACTGATTTCAGTATAACTTGGCACTAATACATAATTCTGTTTATCTGTTTTGGATTTCGAGACTAAACCAAGGATCATTATTTTATTTATTGCTGTTGCACAGTTTCAATTCTAAGTTTTTTTTTTTGTTATAATTACAAATCAGTAGAGCTACAGTCTTGACAGAGACTTCTGGTTTATGTATCATGTATGAGTTAGATATTATTCTTAAACATATATGTATTCTCTTATTTTAGCCTTTCAGTAAGCAATCTCCATGCATTAATGATGTTTCATTCTGGGTGCCTAATGACTTTTCTGAGAACGATTTTTACGATATTGTGCGTAGTATTGGCAGTGACCTTGTAGAAAGTGTAGAACTCTTTGACGATTTTGTTCATCCCAAAACAAAGCGGCGGAGTAAGGCCTATCATATTACGTACCGTCACATGGAGCGAAGTCTGACACAGGAGGAAGTTAACGACATTCACGGGAACATTATGGAGGAAGCTGTCACACAGCTGGGTATCCAAATCCGATAAAATTAATGTGTTATATACTTTTGCACCGTGTTGGACAAAGTACTGTCTGCAAAGTTGTACCTCACAGGCCTGAACAATTTTGGAGGATAGCTATTAGGGATGCACGATTTTATCGATATACTGGTATATTGTGATTTTTTTATTGCGAGATAAGTATCGTGATACGGAGACTAAAATACCGGTATTTGGTAACATAACTATAAATTCCGGAAATTATTCATTTATTTGTTCAAACTATTGAATGACAATTACAGGAAGTGTAAAAAATGTTGAAACAGTTAAACAACGGCATCAAAACATGCTTTATATTAAATAAATGAAAATTAAAAAAGTAAAGTTATGTTTTAATAGCATATTTTTAAGAAATATTATTAAAATTCATTTGAAATTTTAGTAAAAATTATGTGTAAAAATATCATGATTTATCGTGATATTTTTGGTAAAAAATCGTGATATATCACGATACGGAATTTTTGCTGATACCCATCCCTAATAGCTATTCTGATATCTTCAGACTAGTGAGCTACAGATCATCTGCAACAAAGTACACACATGTGTACAAGATTTTGGTTTTATGCACCTTTTACATCGAACTCAATTTGTAGGATACTGAACAATATTAAAGCAAGAAGAAGAATTTTATTTTACATTTTTGTTTTCGAATGTACAGTGTAATGAAATTGTAATACAATCATTTACACACCACTCTGATTATACAAAGATCTATTTTAAACATACCTGTCTTTAATGATGTACCTGTGATAATTATGAAAAATAGACAGGTTTACAACTTGTTCATTATTAAATAAATAATTATTTTGGATTTAGTTTGAACTACATTTTTATTTTGATATGAAGGGAGGAAGTTTATTCTGCCTGTATGTCTTGTGTTTGTTTTGTAATTTTTAGTACATTCCTCATCATTGTATATTCATAAAACATTTGCAAAAAAAAAAAAACTGTTCTTGCAGATTTGGTTTTATTATGGAATAAGTTTGTACATACAGGGTATCCCAGAATATACGATACCATTTCAAGACTCTGTAAAACCTAAAGTAATAAATATTGGATTACAACAAATGTATTATAAACATTGTATATACTGTCCAATTTTATTTACACAATTTGACAGTCATTAAAAAGAAAACAATAAAATGAATTCACTTTAAAAAAAAGTTTTTTAAATGATGCCCTCTAAATGACGTTCTATCTGTGTAACGATAATGTCTAGACATTGTACAAAGTTCCTTAACTCGAGACAATAGTGCCTGTCTCGGTATTAACTTCTGGATTTTCAAAACCTTTTATACATATGTTAAGGATTCTGGTTTGGGTTTAGCAGCAACCTAAGACTAGGATTGATAATTACAGTTTCAAAATGAGGGTAGCTAGCTCTTTTAATAATCCATTTTGATTGAAATTGGAATGGTTATTTTTGCAAAGAGATTGATGTAAATTTGATACATTGAAATTTCATAAGTGTGAGATTTTTTTTGGAATATTTTGTTGCTAAAAAATTGTACTTATTCAAATATTTTTAGAGACATATATCAAAGAAAGCCAATGGATGTGTTTGTGGCAGGTATTTCAAATGGCATCATATATTTTGGGACACCCTGTACATGTGTATATTTTTGGCATTTATGAGCCAATAACCAACCTGGGAGTCTATGATAATTTACTTAAGCAGCTTTGTAGCTCGTATAAAATCATGGACGTTTGATGAGGTTCGTGTGGTTTGATATTGGCCAGAAATGTATCACTATTAATTTTCTTCAGGAACATGATGTCTGTTATACCTGTGACCCAGTGACTCTGGCAAGGTGATGGTGATTGTGGGGGAAAGTACATTTTCTAATTTAGAAAATTATAAAAGGCTAAAAAAAAAAAATGCTATAAACAGATTTAGGTCATTCTGATACCAATGCCAAGACCACCAGAAGAAAGGTTTAAGTTTGATAGTCCTGCCTTGGATATGTTTTTCACAAAGGAAATGATTTTTTTTTTCCTGAGTAGGTCCTTCATTTCATTAGAAGTATGTCCTCTAAATACATGTATATGTAAATTAATTTCAATTCTTTTTTAAACTAAAACATGAAGAACCAAGTAAGGCCATCTTTAAAATAATGTTTGTTTGCCCTCTCCCGACTCAGGGTTAAAAAAATTGGGTCGGTAGGAAGATGGAAAAAAAATTTTTCCTAAAAAAATTCAACAGACATATTGATCGAAGGAATGAAAAAATTCAGGAAGAATTTTTTTTTAAATCGTTTCCTGGAGATTAAAAAAAGTTTAGAGTCGGGCCATTTTCAGCCAGTCGGTCGGGAGAGGGCAAACACAATTTCTTAAAGATAGCCTGACAAATTATACATTATAAGTACATCTACAACTTTATAACAAACATTGATTTGTACCTTTCATTAAAATATTCAATGCAAAAACTAATTGTTGGGATTATTTTTTGTTTAATCCCATACAAAAATCAATTTCATTCCCTCCCCATTTCTTTTCCTATGAAATGATTTTTATACCCCCTGCAAACGAAGTTTGGAGGGGGGTATATTGGAATCAGCATGTCCGTTTGTCTGTTTGTCCGGACCTTTTTTCGGAGACTATTGCATGGTTTGGAGGGGGGTATATTGGAATCAGCATGTCCGTTTGTCTGTTTGTCCGGACCTTTTTTCGGAGACTATTGCATGGATTTGTCAAATTTGTATAGTCATTATACACCATATGGAGGTGTGCACCTGGTATTTTCATTATGATTGGATAATAATCCTGCATTTTATAGATTTTTATGCCCCCGTAGTCGAAGATTCGGTTTTTTGCCCTGTCTGTCCGTTTGTCTAGCTGTCTGTTTGTCCGCAAAAACTTTAACCTTGCCCATAACTTTGATTGGTTGGAGCTATGACTTTTATATTTCACATGTGTATTCCTTGTGACAAGACCTTTCTTTGGGTATCATAAAATTAGACCTTTTGACCTTGACCTTGGAGTTTGACCCCCTTTGTCTAAATTTTTTCAGACTTTAACCTTGGCCATAACTTTTGAATAGTTGGTGCTAGGGCTTTCAAACTTCAAATGTGTGTACCTTGTGACAAGACTTTCCTTCTGATACCAACAACTTTGACCCTTTGACCTTGACCTTGGAGTTTGACCTACTTTTGAAAAAACTTTAACCTTGGCCATGACTTTTGAACAGTTGGTGATAGGGCTTTCATTCTTCACATGTGTAATCTTTGTGACAAGACCTTCCTTTGGATACCAACAACTTTGACCCTTTGACCTTGACCTTGGAGTTTGTCCTACTTTTGCAAAACTTTAACCTTGGCCATAACTTTTGAACGATTATTGCTAGGACTTTCATTCTTCACATATGTAACCCTTGTAACAAGACCTTCCTTTGGATACCATCAACTTTGACCCTTTGACCTTGACCTTGGAGTTTGACCTACTTTTGCAAAACTTTACCCTTGGCCATACCTTTTGAACGGTAAGTGCTAGGGCTTTCATACTTCAGATATGTAACCCTTGTGACAAGATCTTACCTTGGATACCAGCAAGTTTGACCCTTTGACCTTGGAATTTGACTAACTTTTGAAAGACTTTAACCTTGGCCATTACTTTTGAACAGTTGGTGCTAGGGCTTTCATATTTCACAAGTGTATTTCTTGTGAGAAGGCCTTTCCTTGGGCACCATTAATTTTGACCATTTGAACTTGACCTTGATGTTTGACTTACTTTTGAAAAACTTTAACCTTTTTCATATCTATTCAATGGTTGCTGCAAGGGTTTTCATATTTCACAGGTATATTCCTCGAAACAAGACCTTACTTTGGGTACCAACATATTTGATTTGCATTTGAGAAAGTTTAACCTTTGTTATGAGTCGCCATACGGGGGCATCAGTGTTTCACAAACACATCTTGTTTTTTTCATTTTCATTGACTTTAGTCATTTTGAGTTCTTGTAGGTTTGAGACATAGAATCTAGAACTGAATGATGACTTTTATTTTTAAAACGAATTTGGTATAAAGTTATTAAGATTAATTTGATACTGTATAATATGATATTTTTATTCTTTTTCAACAAACAAGTTGCAGTGTAATGTCTCACAAAGATGACAAATGCAATTTTATTTTCAATCTAATAAAAAACAGTATCCTAGTAATTAAACAACAATAATTATGGCTTACTCCCCAAACGGCTACTCACCAAAAACAACAAGTAATTATCACACTCAATTAAGGGGCCCTCTAAGAGGTACAGGTAGACTTACCTGTATGAATAATCTGCCAGAATTTAAGTTACTTTAAACAAAATAAAAAAAAAAATGGATTTGTAATTAAGTTTGTTTTTTTTTTTTTATTTTAGCAGAAGTTTAAATTATATATTGCGTACATATTTTTAAATAAATAATTTTACAAGCACAAAACATAGTAAAATTAAGAATTAAACAGATTTTTTACTTTAAATTGTCTTGAAGTTCTATTGTTTAACAGCACTGTTTAACACTCTTCATATTTCATTATAAATAAAAAAGCACTCTTTCACTTTCACACCACACATATTTACAATATTTACAATTTATTTAGTCACAACTAAGGGATCACTATCCTAGGTGAAGTAGTTCAGATGCAGAGTCTGTGTACGCCATAAGGTCAATGATGCCATCCTGGTACCTTTCTTTCAGTAACTGCAATCTTCTCTTTATAGTTGCATACTTTTTTGCTGGAGGTCTAATGGTCCCGCCGACTTCCCTCTGAATCTTTTGAATTTCTTTAGCATTTTGTATATCTTTGAACATCTTTACGACGATGAAGATGTTAGGATGTGCGTGCTGTGCCATTTTCCATGCCATCCTTCAAGGCTGTTGTTGGTCCGTCTACCTGTACCCCTTAGAGGGCCCCTTAATTGAGTGTGATAATTACTTGTTGTTTTTGGCGATTAGCCGTTTGGGGAACACACCATAATTATAAATATAATTAATGATTAATTAATAAATATAATTAAAAAAACAATGTAACAATGATTATTATTATAATATTGATGTTTTATTAGGCTGCACCTTATTTCATCATTAAAAAAATATAATGATATATTAAATTTTCACTCTAATTAATACTTTTCTGAAAAACCCAGTGGGGGATATTTGTGCAATTTGGGCAGTAAGATTTTTATACCATATTGATGTTAAATACTAATTTGAACAATGAATTAACAATTCAACCTGTATGCAGTGGTGGATCCAGGAATCTTGAAAAGAGGGTGG